AATGTCAAAATGTCGACCTTTCAAAAGAAATATAGCATTGAGACTCCTTAAGGTAGAGGTGCAGTTTACCTGACAGGTATTTTAATTAGTTAATTAGAAAACCAAGATGACCTCCCTTGTCCATAAAACTATATATTTATGGAAAGCTTATTGTATGAATTTTATAATTTTGTAAGTATTTTTTTTCATGGACACTGTATTCTATTTCTATTTCAATATGCATAAAATGTGCTTTTTTGGTCAAAAGTGATATAACAAAAATTAGCCTTTAAACCATGCTTCTGTTTTCTGTCAAAATTGGGTTACAGGTATATCTGTTTACTATGATGAAGAAAGTGTCCTCTTGAAAACTGTCTACCAGTTGTCAATTTTGCAGGGCAGCAGCTCAAATTTCACTACTTCAAGTTTATGCATAAATTAACACCAATGCTAGTTGTCTGTACGATTGTTGTAACACTGTTCAACCCAAAACAATGCCCCGACGGCGTTTTGAAGATAAACATATTGTCAATCATTTGTGAAAATTTCAAAGCAAAAGGTCAAAGCGTCTAGAAGCTATTTTTTTAAAGTTCTGGGATGTGCACTAAAAAGAAGCTGAGATAGTTGCTAATTTGCATAACCATTCACTCAGCAAGAAGTTTGCTAATGCTCATAATTAAAATGGCTGTAACAGTTCCAAATTTAAATGTATTATCGTTTTGTAAAAAGTTAAATATAGCGCATAAAAAGGAGATCCCGTCATTATTTTTTTCAACACGTTTCTTTGTTATTATATATGTACAGCCTTGCTAAATCTTGCTAAGCATTTAAAAAAGAGAACGTTTTGCACCTGTTATCTATATTTTAAAATCGTCTTTTGAGTATGTTCCACTATTTAAAATTCTACAAAGTTTTAACAGTCTATAACCAAGACCGTTTGAATAATAAAAAGGAAAAAAAAAAAAAAAACATTCACTCCCAAGTGCCCACGAACCTGCATCTCTACCTTAAATAATAAAGTGAAGGCAGCTCTACCAACACAGAAAAAAGCACACCGTGGATCCACTATAGATACAATGTTCTGAAGCTCAATGTAAAAATTTTAAAAGTGGACAGGACACACACAATAGGCTAAAAACAACAAAATGTAAAATAAAAGAAACTAATAGTGGTCAACACTACTAGTAAAATAAAACCAAAATAAAACAGAACTTAGCTTTAAAAAAAGGGTGAACACGACGTTTCGAATTGGCAAGCCAATTCCTCTCCAGGTGAATGATTAAAACAGCTGGGGTATGGTACTTGGTAGAATATGATACTCCACAGAAAAGATGTACAGAATTGAAGACACTGAGGGCAGTGTTGATAATATAAACGAACGAACTGATAGAAACAAAAGAATTATCTTATATTCTCCTAAATATTGAGACCGTATGGTTTTGAAGTTCTTAGCACCTTAATCCAATATATTTCCTTGACCAGACGTTGTATTTGGTAGTGACATTGGTCAATGGCTTGGATTTTCATATTTGCTATAGTGTGGTCAGGTTAGTTATAGTGTAAAGGTACTGTGTGGTCATCATGTTTGTGATTTGTCTTGAACCTATGATTATTAAAACGATACCGAAGGGTTTGACCAGTTTGCCCAACGTACTGGATGCCACAGTTGGGAAGAGAACATGTGATTAAATATTTAACATTCTTAGAGTTACATGTCAGGCTAGTGTTGATTTTGTATTGTTTTTTGGTAAAAATTAAACAGAGCTTTGAAAATTATCCTTTTCATTAGCATGTTAGTCACGTGGACATGTAGTCTTACAACGAATAGACGTGCATGATGAAAATCCGCCATTAGATATTTGTATGGTAGACTGGACTTTAGCGCAAATGATTGTATCACGAATATTTCTGTTGCGGCATGTTTCAATGTCAGTCGGATATAAGAAAATTATTGTGAAATCAGCAATCAGTTTACGCTGCTAGTTCCTTGATCGAAGTTCGTTCTCTGCGTGATTGAGGTTATAAACAGCAAGCGAGTGTATTTGTTAGCGGATATAAGACATCTATCGGTAAAAATAAGCATATTTGTCAGGAGATAATAACCGAACGTAAGCGAATTTCAAACACAGATTGTAATAATATTTTACTCGCTAAACAATATTTCTCTGAACTCGGGCTAGAGACGAAATCACGCCCTCATTCGTCGAACTATTATTTGACCTCAACTTGGCGGACGATTCGCATATGATGATGATAACAATAATTACATTGGATGTTGCTCTTTAAAAATGTACAATTTTTTAATGGTGAGGGGAAAAGTTGTACCTCCCATTATACGAGAACAACCTGGTTCTCCACTAAACAAGTAATGGAAACAAACAAATTAGTAAACGGGCACTGTTTGGAACAAAAAAGTTCTTTCCTATTAAGTGATAAACGAAAACAATCTAGTTTCGAACGCCGTTACCGTTAGCGTCCGAGTTACCGAAGTTAACGAAGTAATACTGCGAATTTGGCACCACCTGCTTGCAAATCTATCTTTCGATTCCAGCGTACTGCTGCTTGAAAAAAATGTACCGTTTGTGCTTGCAATGCGAAAACAACCTTCTTCTGTAAAACAGTCCCCTTTTCCTAGTAAATTGTAGACTTGCATACAGTCTCTTGTTTAATTTTTGGTGTTTTTTACCATTGAATAATATAATATGGGAGTTTATAAATAGAAAAATACGGGTTAACGCGAAATAAACAAGAGACTTGTGACCCTTGCAAGGGTTCCTTTGTCATTAATATTAATGAGTGGTGCATGCATAATTTACATTCTTTCAAGATGGCCGTGAATAGTGGGCAAAAGATCGCTAGCACGCCGTCTCTGAAATGCATTTGCATTGTATGTGGGTCAAATTTAGAACAATTGGATAATCGTAGTAGACTATTCAAAGCTGACCAGAAAACGTTTTTTTTAGGTTTAAGATTAGAACTATGGCGAGGAGTCAACAAGTACACTGTACAAAGTTATTGTGAATCAGACCTTCCAATAAATGTAGTTCAGATCGACGACTATCAACCACAGCAGGTAGAGCAAAGGACTGAGCTATTGCGATTTCCGATGGAAGTTTTCAACAAATACTAGTAGACGCATGGGAAAAATTCAACGTCACGTGGTATGGTATTGACTAATTATATAAGCAAACGACAGAGCATACAACATAAATGTTGTTTCTGTAAATTAAAATAGTTCATAGGAGGTCATTCTTTTGGCACTGGTGTTGTTCAAATGTTCTATTGGCCATCTGAGGGTAAATGCAGAGGTATGTGTTAGTTTTACTATAGGGGCGGGACTTGTTCAGACTAGTGCCACCCTCTCTTTTACAAGAATTATACTAATACCGGTTGTCATCGCCCTCTCAAACCCGTCGACCCATGCCATGCCATGTTTTATAACACGTAGCCCCCTCTGAAGTCGTAGTTCATTCAAGGAAAAAAGTCACTCAATTCAGCGGAAACTCCAAAATTAAGTAATATTTAAACGAAAAAGAGAAAACGGCGAACGTATGCAAGTCTATCCTCGAGGCGGAGCTACGTCACAGACGTTCCACGTTGCTAAGACATGCACCACTGTACAATATACTTCTAAGAGCTCTGCGCGAGCTGCTGTGGAACGCCGGTCGAAGAGCACAAAATCAACTTTGAAGTAATCCTGAACAACCAAATTTATATATGTTAGACATGCTGGGTGATCTTGTTACACTGTTCAGGGAAGTCTCAACAACCATCCTAAAGTACAGTTTTCTGAACGTTTTCGGCCATTCTTTTCACCGTGATGGTTGCCAGGTGGTGAAAATGCCCGGATGTCCGCCCCGAGAATACGTGACGTGCTACAATACCAATCGGTCGTAGTCGGGCGCTTCCAAGGGACACTTGTTCAAGTTTATAGTCTTTTTTCGTGGTATTTCTCAACGACTTTCTAGTTCACCGAGTTTTTATAGCTATCTATTTAGATTCGCCATCTGGTTGGATTCCCTAACTAATTGGATTTATTCGGAGTGAAATCTTTATCAATTTGATTTGTTTTAACTTGATTCAATTGCAAGTCCAAAAATATACAAATAACTATTTTATTTTGTACTACTGTGCCATGATTTGTGATTTGAACATTTTACCTTATTTGAAATAGATATTTTCATAAGTGGCAATAAAAATCACTCCAGTATGTAGCGCCGCCTTTCGTTGCCGTGGCCGTGAACCAGTGTAGATATTTTAAAGTTAAATCAACCACTGACAACGAAATGGCGGTTAATACTATTGTTGCGCAAAGAACTATGTGACAAGGAACGAGTGAACAATTGTGGTACAAATATATAGAATGAATTTTAGATAGTTGCCGTTGGCGGCAGGCTGCTTCGTCGATCACACTTGCAGCAACGATTGGCACTCATTATGACAAGTTGAAACATACTTTTTCGGATGTCATATTACACTATATGGGTATAAGCTGGATTGTTCACATTTTAAATAAATATTATACTGAGCCTAATTAACCTTTGTTATGCTAAATGAAGACACAAGTTTGTATACTATGTAACATGGCACATACTTATGATAATAGTATGCAAATAGCTGGTATATAATTGTCGATCTACCAACAATTCATTTTCCAGCTGTCCAGTTGATGTTTGCATATGTGTAGAATGGACAGCCTATCAGTTAGCCCAATCTGTTACCATGGAGTTCCGAGTCGTTTTAACTCATATTAAAGAATATTAAAAAAATTGCAAAAAAAACGCAGCTCATGTTTTTTTTAATGAATCTGTTATCAATTTGCTACGAGTACCATACGATTTCACATTACGCTCTGGCGTCGGAACATCGCCCCCAACGGAAAGTATGTTGAACAATTTGGTGATAACATAGCACACCCAATGCAACACTTCCTCAACAGACCGTGACTGAGCCAATTATCTGTCCTTCAATATTTTCATTTGACGTGTTCATATTTGTTATTTATTTATTTATTTATTTATTTA